AGGTGATGGCCCACAGAGCAATCCTCCAGCCCGGCTGGCTGAACTGGGTTGCCGCTGTCCAGTTGCCGCCGTCCTGCAGGGAGCCAGCCTGCGAAACGTCGCTGGCGTTAAAAACGGAAAACACGCCCATGGCTTTTCACTTCTTGCAAGTGTAGAAGAAAATCTTCTGGCATCTGCTCATTTCCTTGCAGTGGATGCTGGTGTATGAATTTCCACGCATTTAACCAAGTGCTGTTAAAAGGACGTCGGGATGAGCTGCCTCGTGTCCTCTCCTCCTGTTTTCCAAGTGATGCAATGCAGTTCCAGCAGGAGATGAGCGATGCCAAGGGCCTCCTCCTTCTTCCCTGGCATTTTAACCTATGCTTGAAGAGAAAAAAAAACCTGAAGAACAACTCTCTTCTTCAAGTTTCTTTTTCGTCTAAAAAAGGAAGAAAAAAAAGGGAAAGGAAGATGTTTTCCAGGCCAGCAGCAAGTGATGCAGCAAGCAATCTTCCTTTAGATTACTTTTAGGGACAAGAGAACATAAACGGAAGCCAAAAAAACACTTCAATCCAAGTAGAAATTCTTGGTCAGGGCAGCAGTTTTCTAAAGCACCAGGTGTCTGAATCCCCTGCAATGGGAGTGAGGACGTTTGCTGTTCTTTCCTGTGCAACTATTAAGCACGAGGTAGGAGTTGCACTGGGATAAAATCTCAGCAGGTTTTAAGGGGACTTAGAAAGGAGGTGGAGTCTCTTGCAGGGGAGAACTAAACAACAATTTGACATCAAATGAAACGTGGCAAAGTGGTACGTGCAGCTTCCCCCTTGCTGCACTCAGTTTTGAATAACCTCTGCAATGGCCACGCTGCCCTGTCAGGATTTTACAGGCTTACATGCAAGGGTACTTATTTCTCCAGGTTTACCAGTCCTGCAATCCTCAAGTTTCCAGGACCCTGCCTGACTTCCCGTGAGCTCTCACAGCAAGAGAGAAACTATATTTGATGCAATTCAGTAAGATCCTTCCTTTTGCATGGTGCATCCCCTTTCCCAGGGTGTGCTGTAGGAACTTGGTGACCTCATGCCCGCAGAAATTTTGGGTTCTTGTAGGAAAGAGGAAGCCCTGACGCTGCTCGGAGCACAGCGCTCCTGCTTGCCGTCAGCTTAAAGCAAAGCAGGAGTGACACTCAGAGGCTGAGACATCCAAGAGTACTTGGCACTCACTCATGCCTGCTCAGCTGGGAGCTGAAGGGGTTTCAGGTATGAAAAGCTGCCTTCAGGATTCACAGTGCCTGTAGTGCTGGCATGGCAGCAGTTTTCCAGCTCCTGCAGCTGGTGCCAGGCTCTCCTGTAACAGGGCAGTGTTTATCAGCTCAGGATCCTCTGCACCAGCTCAGCCTGGAATCTTTCCTTGCTTCATTAATTTCTGGAGGCAGCCTTGAGTTAACCCATCACCTAAGCAACTCTTTCAAGCACTTTTTCTCTGTTGCAATATTGCCCAGGTGTTACTTCTAAAGAAATCAACACCTGTAGCCCTGCATGTAAAGTCTCCTCCTCTTCCCTGGAGGTAATCCCTCTCACTTCCCTACCCACAAACTGAAAAGGTGCGCTTGTGAACATCTTCCAGAGTGCATTGCAAAGCTCTTCCAGCTGCTTCTTCAAAGTCTTACCCCTCTTTAAATAGCTTAGGGACCTTCCACTTTTTGTGCACAGTTCAGGAGGGCTGTTCATGACTTGCAATACCAATTCAACAGCTAATAGTGTTCTTCAAAAAAAATTTTAATGTGCGGTCTGAAATCCCTGCAAATTTGAAGGAGAACAGGAGCAAAAACCTCCACACATTTCACTGGGAGTGCCCTAAAGTGCTTTATCACTTGCAGAAAGTGGAATGGGAGCATGTGCTTAGAAAAAGGGCTGCACTTAATTGACCCTTCAGTGGGCAAGCTGTAACCTCTCTCGGCTGACTTGGAAGACATTCAGGGTGCTCAGGTTTCTTAGGAACCTCCTTGTGAACCATCTGCCCCCGTCCCTGATCTGTTGCTCAGGTGATAATCGAAGAGCAGCCACCCTTTGGTCAACATTTCATCGTACGACTCAGGAGGGATTTGCCTTCCTGTATCCACACCCACTCCTTTTATTCCTTTCTGGTTGTGCATTGACAAGGTTATCATCCTGGAGCCTGGCCAGCGATTTAGTGTGTGCTGTCAGCTTTTTGACTTGAAAACTGGAGCAATTTTTGACACAGGCTGGCTCCAGGTTCCTCAGGGAAGTCACATTTGCCTGAGACGGTGGGTAAAACCCGCCTCACCAGTGGTTTTGGAGCTACACCAGAGAAAGGGACTACCTGAGAGCAGGGGGTTTGGGTTTGGCTGGTTTCACTGTTGTTTTTATTACGGGCAGGATTGTCAAGGCCAAACGTTACTGTGCTGAATCACCAGTCTCAGGTCTGAGCAAAGGGTGAGATGCAAACAAAAGATGTGGGTCTGCAAGGTCAGGAAGGGCGATTGAGGGACGTTTTGTGCTTTGGAAACATAATACAAGGTAATACAGGCAGTAGAAGCTTTAATTGTGTTGCAAGTTGGACTCTGCTTTGGGAGGAAGAACCTTTGTCTAGGGAGCAGCTCTGAGAGCAGGGCATGAGGACCACGAGCATCCCCCTGGGTGGGGCAAAGTGCAGCTGGCCTGCAGCTTCCTCAGCCAGACCCGGGCTGGAAGGAAGCAGCAAAACTGCCTCTAGTAGCACTGAAAAGCTTTGGGTCTTTCTGACATGGTTTGGTGCAGGGCTGGCTGTAGTTCACTTCTTTTTGCAGGGCTCCTAAAGCCCTGGGGCAAATGCTCTGCAGTCCTCGGCTCTTGGTGTCTTTAGGACAACCCCTGGCGATGAGTAAGGAAATGTGGAAGTTAATGATCCTTAATAAGAACAAAACCACTGCTAGCTGTGCTGTTGGATGGTGCCAGGAGCAGATGCTGTAATGAACAATCTGCCAGGCTCTTCGCTGGAAAACTGCAGCCCTGTGCTGCACTGGGCTCGGGGGGAGAGAACACAATCCTGATGGACCTTTAGGCACTTCACCACATCTTACTTTAACCACCATTTGCTGCCAAACTACAATCAACTCATAACTTTTGTGTCCAGAAATCTTGCCATTTGTATAGACAAAGTCTGGGATTCAGGAAAAGAAAGGGATTGCCCAGTTATTGTCGTGCAGTTTCAATTATTGTCGTGCATTTTCAAAACAGGAACCTGTTTTGATACATTGACTCAGTTCTGAGGGAAAACAACAGGAAAACAGACACTCCTTTACTCAGCTTCCAGCAGGATGTGCCCCGAAATTTTACGTGCAGGAATCAGCACAAAGGACGAGGTAAGGTAGTAAGAAAGGCAAACCAGAACAATTAATTTAGTTAAATAGTTCAACAAGGAAGATGCCTAAGGGACAAGAACATGCTTGGATGTGAATGACACCCCTGAGACACGAAGGCTACGTGACAGACACTAATTCCCAGCAACTACATGTGATGGGATTTCCAGCCTGCATGCCATTGCTAAGTGTCAGGGATATTTGCAAATCTCTCTGAAAATTGAAGCTGTTGATATTTTAGAGGATGGATGCTCTAGGGACATTGTATTTCTGTCAGAAACATTAGAGGTGAAGAGCTGTTCTGTTCCTGGGAGTGTGCTGGGCCGGTTTGTTTTCCAGAAGCAGGAAGTAGTAGCACTGCAGGCGATGGCAATAGTACTTTTAATAACAGAATTATCCAGGGATATTTTTTAGCCTTTAGAAACGAGACTTTGGTGCATCGTATGACCTGAAGAAATGATGTGTGACTGAAATGTTTGCACAGTTCTCATACGCAGCTCAGAGGTTTTCCAGTCTCTCTGCTAGGTAACTTAAGGACAAATGCTGCCCCACTTCATCTCCCCTGACACCAGACACTGATTTTCAATGCCATCTGTCTCTGCTCCGGGCCAGGACCAAACAACCGACTCTGTGACAGTTGTCTGCCGCTTTGAATGAGACTTTTTTCCCCGGGGGGAAAATAGCCCTTTGTGGGACAGGAGTGCAGCACTGCGGGCTTGAAAAGGCTTGTTTCATCTCGGAGGCACGAATGGCGTTCGCAGTTCATGACGGCCGTGTCAGACCCATCACGGACGCTCCGTCACAGCGGCGGGACCGGGAGCAGCTCGGCGCAGAGCGTGGCCGGTGCCATACGCCCAGGGCTGCTGCCACCGGCAGGACGCGACCCTCCTCGCATGTGCAATCCCAGGGTGACACAGACAGAGGGAAATGCCCCGGCAACGCTTCCTCGTGCCGGTGAAGGGTGTAGGGATTCAGCTTTGCCAGTTTATGGATGCTCCACCAAAACCCTGAGCGCCCAGGCAGCGGCTTCCCACGGCCGTATGTTTGTCCCGGCTGTTTCAATGGCGATGGCAGAGGCGTCTGGGGATGCGTGATTCCTGCTGGAGCAGCCAGCTCCATTTCCCGTGCGGGGCTAATCCCGACCGAGCGGCCGAGCACTGAAAATCCAGAGCGAGCAACTACAAGAGCAAATAAAATCCTCAGGCTGCCTGAAAGAGGCTTTGTCCTGCCAGGATGGATTCAGAGGAGCCCTTTCTCTGCCCCCACAGGAATGTTTACATCCCACCAGCCAGGGCCCTCGCTGCCGACAGAAAACGCAGAGCACACAACGAGCGCGATCCCCTGCAAAGGACACGCTGCAAAAACGGGTCTGAAAAATAACACAGCAAATTCGATTCTCCCTTTTCCCAAACTCACAGCTGCTGAATAGCTGCGGAGGGACACAGGGAGCACCAGGAGCCTAAACCCAAGGGTCGGTTTGTCTGCTAAGACAGACAAAAGATACCCGAGATCTGTGTGCCGAGGGAATTAAAAAAAAAAAAAAAAAAAAAAAAAAAAAAAAAAAAAAAAAAAAGGAGAGAGAGGAGAGGACGGACGCCGCGGCTCTGCAGGCGCTCCCGCGTTCCGCGGTCGGTGCCGCTCCCGGAGCCGCTCGCGGTGCCGGAAGCGCGGCCGGGCCCGCCCGTCGGGGCCGGGAAGGGGCGGAGGGCGCGGCGGGCGGCAGGTGCCGCGGGAGGATGGCGGCGGGCGACCCGGAGCAGGCGCGCTACTGCGGGCGGCTCTCGTACCTGTGCCTCAAGCTCAGCCTCATCACCTACTCCACCACCTTCTGGGTGAGCGGGGGCGCGGGTCCCGCTGCCGTGGGTGGGAGATCCCGCGGCTGGCGTGGCGGTGTGGCACCCGGGGCCGTGGGTGTCGCACCCGGGGCCGTCCTCGCCGAGGGACTGCCAGACTGGTTTTGGAGGATGGGGAATTGCGGGGGTTGGAAGTTTGGCGAGTGAAGATCGTTCAGGTGCGGGTCGAAACGCAGCGGGGGAGGCGGGCGCGCAGAGCCTTTGCCCTCCGCAGTCGCTCCTCGGTGTGTTGCGGTGGGTATGTCCTGTCCTGAGCCTCGCAGGGTGAGGCTGCCGGGCTTTGGAGTTACAGGTGGGTGGATCTTGCTTTCCTCATCCAGGTGAAGCCAGAGTCCCAGGTGATGGGTCCAGGCTATGAGCACTGAGTTCTGGTAAATGCACAGCGGGCACCCCCCGGGCTGGAACAGCCCTTGGGGCCCTTTGCAAGTGCTCTTTGTAAGCACTGGGATTTTTAAAGGTGCTTTTTTCGGGTCCTGGGATACTGAGAGGATGCTGGCTTCAGGTGGTGCTGATGTCAGAGGTGCTCAGGCAGGGATTTTTTCTGTCTGGCTTTTTCACTTGAAACGCTGCTTCGGTTTTAGTTTGGCTGGTCTGTTTTTGTCTGACACGGTTTTTACCACTTGGGAGCATAAGGCTTTTGCTTTGCTGCGTGGAAGAAGAGGCTTAGATCCACTGGGTTTGATAGTGAGTGTCAGATTCACCCTGTGATGTAACGAACAAAGACTGACATGCAAAGTGTTTGGGTGTAATTCAGGCTTTTTAGGATCTCGGGTGTCTTTTGTCTGTTTTAGCAGACAAACTGACCCTTGGATTTAGGCTCCTGGTGCTCCCTGTGTCCCTCCACAGCTATGAGTTTTGGAAAAGGGAGAATCAGATTTGCTGTGTTATTTTTCAGACCCGTTTTTGCAGCGTGTCCTTTGCAGGGGATCGCGCTCGTTGTGTGCTCTGCGTTTTCTGTCGGCAGCGAGGGCCCTGGCTGGTGGGATGTAAACATTCCTGTGGGGGCAGAGAAAGGGCTCCTCTGAATCCATCCTGGCAGGACAAAGCCTCTTTCAGGCAGCCTGAGGATTTTATTTACTCTTTGTAGTTGCTCGCTCTGGATTTTCAATGCTCTGCCCTCGTTTATAAACGAGAGCTTCCATTTGTTGGCTGGGGGAGACGGTTTGCTGTGGGAGGTGGGAAAGCAGGATGGGGGATGGCAGGGGATTGTTTTGGGAAAGCAGGATGGGGGATGGCAGGGGATTGTTTTGGGAAGGAAGGATGGGGGGATGGCAGGAGATTGTTTTGGGAAGGAAGGATGGGGGGATGGCAGGGGATTTTGGGAGGGCTGGTGCTGTGCCAGGCGTGTGGGCTTTGCCCGCGGGATTTTCTTTTGTTGCAGCTTAGCCAAGCAGATCTCATCAGCTGTGAATGTCAGTTCCCCTTCTCAGCACTCTTCTTCTTGCTGAGTTTGGTGGTTTGGCGTTTTTTAAATCAGTGTAAATGGGAGCAAAGCTTGGCTTTCTTGAATGTTGGGTGGTTCGTGGTGTTCTGCTGCTGTCTGGGGCTTTGTCCCGCTGGATGCTGAGTTCATTCGCTTCCCTCCCGGCTCTTGCAGTTCCTCTGGTGCCTTCTGAGTGATGAAGTCCCAGGTTTGAGTCCCCAGGATGGATTTAAACCCTCAGGAACTAAATACCAGCCTTCTCCAAAGCAAAAAGGAAATTAAAGCATTGCTGGGAGTGCCGGGGGGGATATTTGCTACAGGCCTTGTGGTCTGTCACCCAGGGCTGTTTTAAAAACTAGCTGTCACTGTGACTTTCCAGACACCTCTGGAAAAGGTGAGTGGGGCTGTAATGTAACCTGAGGAGAATGGGGCTAGAATGTAATTTTCTTGCCCAGCTGAAACAAAATCCAGCATTTTAAACAGAAGGTGCTGTTGTTGAGCTTTATTTAGGAGAAGGAACTGTAAGTACAGGGTTAAAGCTTCTGCTAATAAATAAATTCTTCTCCTTTCTCTTGGGAAAGCAGCTTCTGTGCAAAAGCCCCAGAGAAATCCCCTGGTATTTGCTGGTGGATGCTCAGTTGCTGTGAGTCAGAGCAGTTGATTTTTCCTGTGTGCACAGCTGGAATTGCCAAGCTGGGAGCTGTTGTGGGGGATGCAGGATGTAAACAGCCCCTGTGCCGTGGCTGCTGGGTTAGCACATCTGCTTGCAGGAGTAAATGCTGTTGGTTTGACCGTGTTAAAGGTTGGAAAGAATTTTGTTAAATGCTTGAGAAAATAGAAGATAATGAAAGCATGAATCTTGGAGGGTGTGGGAGCACGAGTGGAAGTGGAAAGGGGTGAAGATATGTGTATATGAAGATGCTATATGCATTTATGTATCTTAAGTTCTTAAAGTAGGAAGTGTCTTGTATTTTACTTACAGGCACCTTTTAGTCAAAAACGCCCTGAAATTGAATGCTTTGATAAGAAAACTTTGACGAGAAAAAATATTTCAGTAAAAAGTTCTAATGTTGAAACAACACTCTTCTGAAATTCTGATAATCCCTATAAAACTTTAATACCTGTGGTTTACATCCAGTGTTTATGGTTGTTTTTTTTTTTTACTTTCTAAACAAGGGATCTAGCAGGCAAGAGTTCTTGCTGTTAATGGCACTTCAGTGTTTGCAGGAGAATCTGCTTTTGGGGCTGCTCTCAATTTGCTCCAATTTGAAGTTGCTTTTTAAATAGCTTCAGTGTATTTCCTTTTTGTGGGTGAACCCTTCTGAGAATTTTCTCTCTTTAAATGACAAACTGGTGGCATTCCCTACATATTGTCCTTTGGTGTCATTATGCATTTCCATAGAAAATCAAGAACTTCCAGTAAGTTGCTATTTATTTTAAGATATCCCATAATTTAAAAAGCATTTCAGCTGTTTGGCTCATGAACTCGTAACTCACATCGTGTGTCCCTTTGTCTGGGATATTCTATGTCATATCCAAAATTAAGAAGTGAAATTAAAAATTAAGAAGTGTAATTCAGAAGCACTGGTGTGCAGAGAGCAGATTCGTGTTTCCTGTGGAAATGTCAGGTCAGGAAAGGGGAGTGTTGTGTATCAGATTGCCAGAATGATTGATTTGTGTCTGGTCTCTTCCCTGATGATCTGTCTGGCTGTTGGAGTCGGCAGCAAAGTTTTTCCACTGCAATTTTTGTAATTAAGTATTGTGGGCTATTTTTAATTTTAATTAGTTCAGCATAATTCAAAGTGATTTGCAGCACACCACAGTTTTAATACCAAATGATTTAGACTTAACAAATTCTTTTGATTGAAAGATCTTTAAATAAAATATGTCCCTTCATATTTCACTTGTCAGCTTTATCTGGTAGTTGCTGAAGGAAGTGATACAATTTCAAACTTGGTTGTTTGTTTTTTTCTTTTAGTTTTTAATCTGGTGCCTTTCTCCTGCTGGCAGCAGGAGTGGAGGTATAGGAATTATCTGACTGTATTTACTGAGCCCAAATAACAGCAGCAGTTGATAGGAAGGGACAGATGGGCTGTTTGCAGAAGCTGGGTTGTGTTAGAGGCACATATATATTTCTGTGTATTTATATACACAGAGAGCAGGACAGACAGACACACAGAGGAGGGCCATTAATGCCATGGCAGTTGCTCATATATGTAATGTATGTGATCTCAGATGGGTAATAAATTACATTTCAGCCAGTGATGTATATTTTGATTAGTTTGACTTCCAGAATGCTAAAACATGATGAAATATATTTTTGAAGTGAACGTGTTTTTTTTTTTTTTTTTTTTTTTTCCCCAACTCAGCTCTTTTTCTGCTTTAGTCTTTGAGGGTTTTTTAATTTTTTGTTTTATCCACACTTCTGCTTTGGATGTTTCATTGTTTACAATGAATCCTGAAGTGAGCAGTGACAGGTTCCTGTGTACTCACAGCCTGTCATCTCTGTGTTTACTGGCAGAAACAATTACATGTTATTTGTGTTAAATCATCTGTTTCTCTTCCAGGTGATTGGAGCCCTTGTCCTCGCCGTTGGGATTTATGCAGAAATTGAAAGACAGAAGTACAAAACTCTAGAAAGTGCCTTTCTAGCCCCAGCAATTATTTTAATACTTTTGGGCATTGTGATGTTCCTGGTATCCTTTGTGGGTGTACTGGCTTCTCTGAGAGACAATTTATGCCTTCTGCAAGCAGTAAGTGTTGGAATTTTTATTCCTAGTTTCTAAGGCTTGTTGCTTTTGCTTTCCACTGTCCTCTGAATTCACATCCAGAACTATGTCTGCACTGAAAAATATTTTAATGAGGTTACTTTTTTAAAAGTTTCGCTTAAATCTGAATTTAGTGGCTCCCTCCCTCAGGGAGCTGCAGCATTGGGTCTGGCCAGTGAGGCTCTGAGCCCAGTGCTGGGAAAAGGAGCTTCCCAGGAGCTCAGGTGTTATGGAAATGTGAGGAATGTGAGATGTTATCAGCCAGCGTGTATCTTGTGCAAACTCAGCTGCTGACGTGCTGCTTGATGCTGGGTTTCAGCCCAGAGGGAGCAGCCCTGGCTCAGTGGTCTGTCTGTCCTCGCTGGGCAGTGCAGTGCAGAGGGGAGATGGAGAAATGTGTGTTCAGAGTCAGACCTGGAGCTGGGGCCTTTGACAGAAGGGCCCTGAGGGTGACATGAAAGGCACAAGGCTTTTGCCCCCAGCGTCTCTGAAAAGGTGAATTTTGGGGAAATTCCTGTGGTTGCAGGTGGAAGCTGCATGTGTGACTAATTAAAATTAAAGTGTGCAAACTTCATTTCCAGCTGCACAGGATCACACAGAGTTTGGGCTGGAAGGGACCTTTTAAAGGCCACCTAGTGTGACCCCCTTGCCATGAGCAGGGTCACCTTCCACCAGACCAGGCTGCTCAAAACCCAGCCCAGCCTGGCCTTGTCACATCAGTGCAGTCTAACAAAATGCTAAACTCATGGTTTGTTGTGGAGGGCAAGGCCAGAAGTAACCACGGATTTTGAAGTTATACTGGAATTTCACTGAGAGCCCCTCCTCAGGCTTCTTCCCCAAGTGTGGTGGTGTGTCAGATGCCAGGAGCATTTTCTGTTCCCATCCTGGTAGCAAACCCAGCTGGGTATGGAACAAAGCAAGTCCCTGATGCCAGCTTCCCAGGTTGATTCCACATTTAGCAGGAGAAAAGATACCTGTCTGGTGAATTCCTGACACTGAGAAGTTAAAGCAGCTTTCAGGGGATTATTTTCAGACAAGGGATGTTAAAACTTCACTCCTGATGAAGTTTGTTGTTACACAGCAGACCTGAATTCACTCAACACCCATCTTTTTTTGCCTGAAGGGTTGGAAAAAACATTTCAAGTCCTGGCATGCAGCAGCTCTCTCACAGTGCAATGGATTTTTTCATGTTTTTCACATTTTGCACAGGCTTTGCTGGGCAGTCGTGGGTGCACACGTGGTTGTGTGTGAGTGCACTTGTGTATATACACAGGCAAATAAATGTGGGGAAGCAACACATTAAAAGCTACTAAGCCTGGAATTTTGCTTTGATTTAGCACTGGCAGTGTAGAAGAAGGTGGTTTGGATTGTCTTAAGGTGTGCTGTTGAAAGCTAACAGGTAAGTACTGGCTTTGTAGGAAGCATAAAACCCTGAAGTGTGGTGTGGTTTGCAGCAGCCCATCAGTGTGCTTCTCTGGGGTGCTGGTGTGGAAAGGAGTGTCTTGGCAGGATAATTTCATCTAATGGTTTTGAGTCCGTTCAGAGCAGAAAAAATAATGTTCTTGCCAATTGGGCAAAACCCAGAATAATTGAAGTGAAGAAAAAAGTCTTTCTCGTGACATTGACAGTTCCATAATTTCATGTTTTCCTTTAAAATGCCATGCTGAAAGCCAAGTCTATTGGCAATCGAATGCTAGCCTTGAAGGAGCTAATTGAAAGAGTAATTGGAGCTGTGTCTAATGACTCACTTGCACTTGTTTCCCTGCAGTTCATGTACATCCTTGGTGTCTGCCTGCTGATCGAGCTGACGGGCGGAGTGGTGGCCCTGATCTTCAGGAACCAGGTGAGCTGCTGGCTTCAGGTGTTGGCAGCATTGAGCTCTGCTAAATGACAGCTGCTCAAGCTGAGCACTCCTTGACAGAGCTCTGGGGACAGGTCCAGGCTTTTCAGGGCTCAGTCCTGCGCTGTTCTGGAGGTGAATTCCAGGTTAAGGAGCTCGGAGGAAATCTGGTGGCTACAAATGTGCAATGCAGGCAAAATGAATCTCCAGCTCTTGGTGGATGACAAAATGCTTTCTTCTGTTTTGCCATCTGGGTCTGACTGCTGATTTGGGACGTTTCCAGACGGATTTGGAGGCTGTTGTTTTTTAATGGCCCAAATGTTTTGCCTCAGTTAAAGGACAGCTCTTCCCTGCCCGCATCCATAAGCAACAGAGTAAATTTATGCAGGAGACTCCATCATTGACAAGCATCCTATAACTGCATTAAACCCTTGATTTTTCTGCACAGAAAGCAGCAGACTATTTTATTCAGTTAGAAATGCTTTAAAACATAAATGTGTTCACTATGGCAAGTACTAGATGCCTATGCTTTGATTTATAGCAGGACAGCTACACTTAGGGACAACTTTCTTCCCTTGTTTTTCAAGGTTAGTGGAGAAGTTTGGGTTGGTATGGGGAGAACAAGAAGGTATTTATGGAAGTTTAATGTAGTAGCCTCTCTTTCAGGCCTGTTTGTTTTGCATGTGATGTGCATTTTCCCCATTTCTTTCTCTACTTCCTTTTAAAATCTGTAGAGTCTAAATGAGGTTGGACCAGTTAGGAGGGTTCTGTGTTATTTCTCATCACTGATATGATAATCCTTTCTGTTCTGGTTAGTTTTGGGTGTTGCAGTTTGTAATACTGAGAAGATGAGTGGGTGTATTTCAGGTTTTCTGACCTGCAAGGCTTTAACTTTGTCCATTTCAGCAGCTGGATTGAAAGGAAAGTTGTTGCATTCTGGTAGTGATTAGTCCCTGGTTTTGCTGTTTGCTGTGCTGAGATTGTGCTGGATCTTGAAAACTAAATACTCTTTTTTTTTTTTTTTTTTTCCATTTTCTCTCATCTTCTGAACTTTAAAAAGACTTTGTTGATTTAATTTTAGTATGCCATGCTGAGGAGACACCATTTTATTTCTGCTGTCGCCACACTACCATATTTCTCAAAACAACCACTGTAAAACATACAAACACACCTTTTTTTTCCACTCCATGTGGAGTAAAGCTCTCTATCTGGCAATTTTGGACTCTTTGAAAAATCAAATTAATGGAAAATGCATGGAAAATAAAATTCCTGGACGGTGGTGACGCAGTCAAGCCGTTTTGCTCGGGGCGTGGTGCAGACCGCGGTGCCAAGATCCAGCATCCAGCCCCACTGCTCCGTCATCCAGAAGGTGTGAGGGTCCCCAGGGACAGGGATCCTGGAGTATCCATGTCCCAGGGCTGATGGGACCATCTCTGGGAGATGCTGGGAGGGTCTCAGCAGTGAGAGGTGTCTCACTGCTGGAACTTGCCGGCCCAAAGCCAGCAGAGAGGCTGCTTCCCTGGAGGAGAACAGATGGTTGGTCCCTGCAGGGCTGTGCTAAAATTTGTAATGAGTGTTTTGGTTTTTTTCTTAAAAAAAAAAAGGAATAAAAGCCTTTTCCTTTGTGCTCATCAGTTACACTTGTCACTTTAACCTGCTCTTCTAATTCTGTTCCAGCCCATGAATTTGTTTTCCTTCTGCTTTCTAGACAATCAAATTTTTGAATGATAACATTAGAAGAGGAATTGAGAATTACTATGATGATTTAGACTTCAAGAACATAATGGATTCTGTTCAAAAGCAGGTTTGTTGGTTTGGTTTTTTTTTCCCTTGGACTAACTCAGCAACAGCTTTGAGTTTTTCCAGTGGTGTGACAATCAAGTTGCGGGGGATGAGATCTTGTGTGTCATCTCTTATGGTGTTGCTGCTGAGGTCAGGGCTCATCCAGCACTCCAGCTGGCATTTAAAACCCTCTTCCATCACTGCAGAAAGAGAGGGCCAAAATGCAGCTTTTGCCTTGGCAGGTGCAATTCAAATGCTCGAGGTCAGATCCCCCAAACCTGTGGGTTTGTAGTGGCCCCACAGCTGGACTGAGATGAATTCAGCCTGAATTCCAGCCATGGCCTGGCACTCAGTGCTTCTCCTGGCTGGTGCAGAGGTTGAGAAGCATCTTGTTAGCAGGAGGCATTGGATAAAGAGAAATGAGGTGGCATTTGGGCTGCCACAGCCTGGGCCCTGGTGTGGCTGCTCCAGGGCATGCACAGAGCTCTTTAACAAGGTGGTTGTTGGAGGGAAATAGCACTGGAAGAGTATCTACCTGTAATTAAAATTCAGGAACTGTGGTGAGCCCAGCTGGGCATTACTTAATGGCATGTGGAGTTGACTCACAGCCTTTTTTAATTTTTTTTTTTTTTTTTTTTTAATAAGGCTGATCTGTTGAAATGTTTATTGGGTTATTGAAGAGTTCTGCCATACAGCTCAGAGGCTGTAGAAGAAGCAAAAAGTGTTCAGCAATGTGATGTCAGGGCCCCTGTGATGTCTGTGACCGTGCCAAGTAATGGTTATTAAAAAAATTGACTTAGGAAGTGATCCATATATTCTAGGACATCGTTATGGAGATGGCAGCCTGCTTTGAAAAACAAAGTTAGCATGGAAAGTCTGTCAGAAGCAGACCATCCTGAGGAAATTCTGTCATTAGACTTCATAATGCTTTAAATTTTCCATGCACTGCCCAAAATTCTGGCTACGTACACGTTAGGGATTAAATGAGCTCCTCCTTTCCCCTTCGTTTAAATTATAAAGGGAATATTTATATTAAGTCAGTGTAAACTTAGAGTATTTGTTTGCCAGCTTTTAGTTCTTCTAAATTACACCCACAGTGTTTTGGTGAGATTTATTTATGCCTCAGAGCAACGTTTTTGTCTTTTAGATCCAGTTGGAAATGTGGTTGTAACCCTTAAAACAACTGCAGGGGTAGATTACAGGTCAGGATGGAGTCAATGTGTCATCAATCAAAGTTTGATGATGTCCAGAGCTGGAAAGATAATTTTTCAGCTCAGAAAAGATGGGAGGTGGAACTTGGTACTGGGTACTTTGCTCTGGCACCCTGGCTTACAGTTCAATGGGTGACAGAGGAGTATTACCTTTATCTTTAATTCTTTTTAATTTAAATTTATCATGTACATTCCTACATGCCGTGCTGATAAAATGACAGAATTTTTTGGTAGCTCAGAGCTTTTAAAATAGTTTGTTTCATTCTTTGTTTTCTACTTATTCAAAGAGTTTAAGGAACAAATTTCCTTTTCCTTTTGGAGTCATAGAAACATTTAGGTTGGAGAAGACCTTAAAGATCATTGAGTTTTATGTCTTTTTTATTTTAATTTTTTTTTCCTCTCCAGTTCAAGTGCTGTGGTGGGGAAGATTATAGAGATTGGTCCCAGAACGTGTACCACAACTGTGCAGCTCCAGGACCTCTGGCTTGTGGGGTGCCCTACACTTGCTGCATCAGAAACAAGGTAAGTCCTGGCACCTCAGCTGGGGCTCACTCAGAAACCTGGATTTGGGAAGTCTGGGGTAAGAAGTGAAGGAACATGGGTCCTTTACTTCCCCAATGGATCTGTGGGTCCTTACATCGTGAAAGGGAGGAAATAATGGATTAGAGGTGTTGGCTGTGGTCCATTTTACTGCCCCACTTCCCAGCCCCAGAAGGGATGTTGGGAGCTCCTCTAATCTCGTGGCTCTCCCAAACCAGAGCTGATTAAAATTCAGGTTTGCTGGTGTTTTCCCCAGGGTTTGCTGGTCCAGCTTTGCCAAGAAGCCTGGGACCTGGTGGTTTCTGTGGGTGGGGGGATCAGAGGGATGTGCTGCAGCTGCTGTGTGAATTAAAAACCACACAGAATGACCTTGTCACCCCCAGAATAATCCAAAAATGTGACCTCAGGGTGAGGGCATGCTTGTGGGCACAGGGCTGCCCCAACCTATCCTTGAAAACTACCTGCCTGTAAAATCCTGGAAGGACTGGAGTCTGAACCAGTTTCTGAGTCTGTGATGAACTGGTCCTCACTGGTGCTGACAGCCCTGGGAGCAGGCATTGATTTAAATGCAAATATGTTTTAATTAATTCTGTAATGCACTGCTCTTCATTTGAGGGGTGCATGTAATGCTGAATTTGGTAAGGAACTGTTCCTCAACTCCTCCAGTACAGGCAGTCCCTGCCTTGCTGGGGTTTGGTCTCCAGTCTGACCATGAGATGAAGATTTTGGGTGTGTGTAAGGGCAGAGCTCACGATGGATATCCTGTGCTGCCTGGTTGGGGCTGCCCTTCCCACATCTGCCTTGAGCATGGCTGCTTAATTTAAAAAAAAAAAAGGAAAATAGATGCAATGGTGTGTCAGTAATCCTGCTAGGTGATGCTGAGAAATGTGTATCACAGGAGGGTGTTTATTACGTGTGCACACGCGTTTTTCCTGTGGGAATGGGTCTGTTTAAACCTGTGATGAGCTTTGATTTATTCTCGGAAACCAAAGCTGAACAGCCATGCTTTGAGTCTTAGCTGTTTGAGAGTAAGAACCTGCAGCTGCATGGAGCAGAACAACTCAGGATTTTGCCTTCAGGAAAGGGAAAGCACTGGAATAAAAACCTCTCCAGGGAAAAACAGCAAGATTATTCACTGACAGCTGGGGAAGGGAGGATGAGGCTGCTTGTATCCCATGAAGTGTTAAGCTCAGGGAAGTTAAAGAAGGGCAGGGAGAAGCCCCAGATGGGAGTGTGGCTCTTGCAGAGGTGGGGGCTGGTGGCTCTGAGCAGGAGATGCTGGAGCTGAGCCGTGCGTGGTGCGGCACAGGAACGCCAGCCCCAGGGCTGTGCACGGCTGCCTCAGGAAAAAACAGCCAGAAGATGCATCAATCTTACTGTGTTTGACAAATCCTTCCAAATACAGGCTGGGTTCTGTCCTGGAAAGCTGCAGATATGGTTTGTGATTACTCATTGGCTTTGTAGTCATGGAAAACTCCAGCTAATGTCGGTGCCTGGATTCTGATCCTCTGTGAAAGCCTTCTGCCAGCACCAGCCAGCTCGTACTGGGGGGGCTCTGAAGGAACTGTGTTCATGTCCAATTATTTATTAAAGACTTACACTAGTGGAGCAGATAGAAATTAGTCCCAAATGCCTGTAATCCTCTGTTCCCAATGCATTTATCTCCCCTGTGTGTATTTGCTTATGCCACGACGTCCCGTTAGCAAATTCTGTGCTTAAGGTTAAAGGATGGGACTGCCCTCCTTGTGGTCACATATTTTGGGAGTGACCATGTGTCAGTCAGGCAGTCAGGCTTCAGCCTTTTTGGGAGCATGAAATCACTCACAGCCAACACAACACGCTGGTGCCTCATACTGGTGTTGACTTCCAAGTGGATTTATTACCTGTGGTAGGCAGATGGGTACCCTACACAGTTTCCCAACAGCCCTGTGGAATGGTCCAAGCCTTTTCTTCTAGGAATGTGCTGAGCCTTGTCAGGCAATTGTGTGCTCAAGGTGAGAGCCCAGCTTTTGGAGAGGCTTAAAAACTTCTCGTTTTCCTCCATGTCTTTGGCTTTGTTTTCTGCCTCCTTTGATGCCAGTGGGTTTTTACATTGGATGATTTTCAGGTCAGCATTTTCAGGTTGGCTTTTCCAGGCTTTCCAGGTAGAACCTTGGAACCCACAGAAGGCACTGCACACCTACAGAAAATGTGTTAGTAATCTATGTGGTGAATGCAAGCACTCAGTCTCTCTTTTGAATATATGAGTTTTATATTTGTGTATATAATGGTGTTGTATGAATATTGCAATGAATTTAGTGTTGTAAACAGCATTTATAGTATTCGAAATCGTTTGAAACTGAAGGTATTTCTGAGCTTAAATTTGTCATCATCTTGGCACGAAGGCCATGTTAATCCCTGGTTTTAGTAATAAGGTGTGTTAAGTTATTAAGGCTTTGAAAGGAAATCCAGCTGTTCATTCTGTGGAAACAGCTGTGTCCCACAGCTCACACTGGTTGCTGTTGCCACCCTGCTTTTGCTGGATAGGAATGGCTCAAATGTCTCGTGACACACTGGCAATACTCATTGCTCTAAAATCATGTGGAGCTCTAACTAAATCTGACACTGGGGCTGCTGGGATAAACTGGTGTTGGACTGGGAAATAGCCCTGTCATTGCTTTTATATGAGCTGGGTGAGCACAGAGTAAAAATAATATTTCTGTGATTTTAGTTTCCTGCTGCAGTTCATATTTGTTGTTTTCTTTTCAGACAGACATTATCAACACTATGTGTGGATACAAAACCATTGACCAAGAGGTAATGTAGCCAATGCCCACCCTGGCATGGCAGAGGGTGCTGCTTCTTTTTTGTCTCTGTTATGAAAGTGTTTTCTGTGTGCTTTAATCTGCCAGGCAGTTTAATTGGCAATTAAAATGGTTGTTTTTTCCTGGAATAATTTCCTTATATGAGAAAAAACTCATCTTGTTTGATTTCTGTATCTTCCCTTCTTTTCATTTCCTTCGATTCCTTGTTTGTTGACAACTCCCCCATGCTAATTGCACAGCTAATGCACAAAAAGCTGCTTTCAAAATTTGAAGCAGTGACTTGAGTTGGGGAAAGCTTTTAGTACGTAAAAGCCAAAGTTTCTCACTTAGTAAAATTGGCATTGATGAAAGCCACCTTAGCTGTTTTTAAGTATTTCATATCCCAGGAGTGGGTGTTTTATTTTTAAGCCTGTGGTAGCACAGCTGGAGGAGCAGTGGGACTTCCCTGGTTGTGTTGGCTGCCTTCTCCTCCCTCCAGGAGTGGGATGGGGCCTCCTCCTTCAGCCTTCCCTTTTGGGAACAGCCCCAGTGACTCCAGAGGAGAGACTGCCAGCTCAAGGCAGCAATTGCAGAGTGATGAAGAAGGGGAATCGGTAATTGGATCTGCCCTGAGTTTTCCGCTCCTGACTTTGGAGTGCTGGGAGGAGGCAGGGCGGGGGGCTGGTCTGGAAAAGCTCCTCTCCCCGGCTCATTTGAGGCACTTGGAGCACAATGCCAGCCTGGGTTGTTGGTTTTTGGGATTACCGGTTATCTTTAAATACAGCTTGTCTCCATTCAGGTTCCTTGATTTGTGGCTTAATCACCTGAACGCTGCAGCCAGGCTCTGACACGGAGCACTTCAGCTTATGCTGAACTTCACCCCATTCATCTGCTCAGGACCCTCTGCAGCCTCAAGTGCTTTTATATTATGGATTGGGGTCAGGGAGCAGCACAGCTTGCAGGACTGAATCTGAAATCCTCTTGTTCCTGTCCTTTCTAGGGTCTTTTTGCAAAGCACTTGGTCCACAATTTATGTTTTTCCACTGCTGTATTTTCAACTTGGGAGCAGAGATGAAAGCTAAAGAGAGACTTCTCTTCTTTCCAAGTGGTCTTAAATGAGAATGGAGTGCATTTCTTGTTGAGAAATAGCTGCAACAAACAGGTTTAAGACAATGAAATAACTTACTCGGGTGTTGAATAACTTTTTAAAAACAGAGTAATTTGCTGAGGTGTGGAGCAGCTCAACAAGAGACAGAAGAGCTACTGATGAGGTCTTTGTTAAACTCAGTGGGTTTAAAGAGGTGGGAAGGCAAACCACATCTGCCTCCCTGAGTTTTGAGTTGCCACGTGTGTCTCACAGCAGTGGAGCTGCCTGTTGAACCCTTCCTGTGCTATTTTGCAGCGCTTGAGCGTTCAGCACGTTATCTACGTCCGAGGGTGCACCAATGCTGTGCTCATTTGGTTTTTGGACAACTACAGCATCATGGCTGGCGTGCTGCTTGGCATACTGCTGCCCCAGGTAAGAGAGTGTTCCCTGTGAGGGGGAACATCTGGTTTGTCGGGATGTGAAATCCCATTGGACCATCATCATGGTTTTCTTTCCAAATTTAATGTAACTGGTATGCTGGGGTGGCATTTGAATCAAACACCTCATTTGCCAGTGTGTGAAATCCCATTGGACCATCATCATGGTTTTCTTTCCAAATTTAATGTAACTGGTATGCTGGGGTGGCATTTGAATCAAACACCTCATTTGCCAGTGTGTGAAATCCCATTGGACCATCATCATGGTTTTCTTTTTGGGTTTAATGTAACTGGTAAGCCGGGGTGGCATTCTTTGGTAGCATCACTGGTGCAGGGTTTGCTGGGGCAATTCCCTTTTGCTTGGGGTTTATTTTTGAGTCCTCCCCTATCCGTGACATCTGTGGCTTCCCGGAGCTGCGGTGGGGCAGGCTGCCTGTGCTGCCTGCCTGGGGCTGCCCTTGCCTGTTGCCTTGGCAGTTCCTGGGCGTGCTGCTGACGCTGCTGTACGTGACCCGGGTGGAGGACATCATCTCGGAGCACAAGCTGGGCCAGAGCCTCTTCGGGGACGCGCGCCGCGGGGCTGAGCCCGACTTCTCCGCGGCCGGCTGCTGCATGTGCTACCCGGGCTGACCTGGGAGCCCAAAAACCTGCCAGGCCAGGCAATCCCGGCTGCTCCGGGGCTGCTGCAGACTCTGGGGGTGCTGGAGCAGCCAGCAGCCGGCGGTGGGTGCGAGCCAAGGCGCACCGGAGGGGCCCCGTGCGGGGCTTGGGACATTAAATTGCTCCTGGGTGATTGCTGGGTGATAACACAGCCAAAAAAACTGGAGAAGATCTGAACTGGATTCCTAGGAAGTGTCTTTGCGTCTCTGGATGTGGTATTTAAGTGTTTGTGCTTCTCCAGCTGTATTTTCTTACTCCTTCCGGAGAGATTTCTTACTGATCCACATGGTGAATATGAAACCTGTGTTTAACAGTGGGGTTTTATGCTAATCATGGTGAATTTACTGACAATAATGGATGTGATGCTCAGTCTTCTGTGCCTTTCAATAACGGGGCAAATGCCAGTGTCAAATCAGTCAGGTAATGCTTGATCTATTTTTTAACGCAGTTTATTACTGTGTGGCTTTTGTATGAACTTACAGGATGTTGGAGTCTTGGATGTACTGTATTTTCCCCCTTTCGTAAATTAACTAGGTGATTTATGACTTTATATTTTTTTGGAGTTCTGTATGTCAAGGTGTTTCTAAAATTTACTGTCGAAATAAAACCAATGAGTTGTTTTTTCTTAAAAAAAAAATGCATGGGTTTTGTTTTAAATTATTTTTATTGTCTTAGGTAAGTTAAGCCTGTCCCTCAAATGCTGAATGGAAAGGTAGAAGTAGCAGGAGCTGTGATTCTGGCTGTGGTTTTGGAGAGTCACTGAACATCCATTGCTTCTCTTAGTCCACCACGAGCTCTGGGGTTTTTGTTGGTGTTCCTGAGCATTTCTGTGCAGTCCCTCCAGCCCCAGACAGGCCTGCAGGCAAAATGCAGGCAAAAACCTAATTATCATTAATATTTCAATTAAACCAAAGTCAGGATGAGAATAAAGCAGGTTTATATCCTGAATATAAATCTCTTCCAAACACTCCACTAAGAAAAACAGGACAACATCTGATATTATTCTCTCCTTGCTGCTTTTTGTTGTTGTTAAAAAAAAAAAAAAATAAATCTTTTCCTGGACATTTTCTGCTGCTTAACTCTCTACATTCACCAAGAATTTCTTAGCAAACTTTGTGTGTTTCCAGGAGCCAAAAAAGACTCATCCAGTTCTTGGGTGTTGCTGGTGGTTTCTAGGGACAGCGATGCCAGTCCAGCAGGGGCAGTGGGAGGTCCACAGCACGCTCCAGCGTTGGGCCCTGCACTGCTCAATGTTTAATTGCTCCTTTTCACCCAAATTCTCCTGGTCTCTGTCTTGAATGAGGCGTTCTGGTAAGTTAAGAAGCAAGGTGTGTTTTAAGAGTGGGTTTGTGTGCAAGGAGAGGGAGGATGGAGCTGACTGCTGGGGAAGGATGGGAAAATTGAGGCTGGAGTTGGTTTGTAGCAGGGACTGGGCTGGGAAGGTGGGAATGACAAAGGTAGTTCTCCTTTGATGACAAAAGTAAATTGATTTTTTTTAATAAATTGATTTTTTTTGGTAAATGTGGGGGTGATGTGAAATATGAGATAGCCCAGAAACCAGGAGGTGGCACAAGTGTGGTTAAACTTCAGGTGATTTAAATGAAATGGGGAGAGTATTTTGGGATACAAGAGAGCAATTATCCCTTATGAAGAAAATTTGTAGGCTGTACTGAATTTTCAACCATCCCCAGTGTCATTCACAGTGTTTGAATGGTGTCACAAAGTAAACCCTGCGTGATTTTGTTTAATAAATGATTGATTCAGAAACTACTGACCGTTCCCATTCCCTAGGATGTGAGGAAATTAACTCTTGGTTTCACAGGCCATGGTGACTGGAGGGAGGGATGATGCCTTTTGGGAGGTGGCTGGAGGAGAGAGATGCAGCAATTCTCTGCTCAGCTGCCTTCTCCAGAGAGCTGATGAGAAAATTGTCTTCAGATGGGTGAAGAACACTGATCTAATTTAATCCCTGTGCTCCTGGCAGGAGCAGCCCAGCTGTGGCTGCTGCTCACAGATGCATCCTTAACGTGATTTAAGAAAATGCTCCTTGGCTGCTTCTTGAAAGCCTGAGACAACTCCCCGAGATCCCAGAACTATGGATTATTCTGTGTGTGTAATTTTAAAGCGCTCTGACAGCTGTGAGCTGCCAGTGGTTCGTGCTCCTTGTGTTCCTGCTTTCCATCAGGGTTCAGGAAAAGAGACTTACCTCTCTGTTCTGTGAGGCCACAGAGGCACGGACGTGGCACAGCACCGAGCAGGGGATCTAAAAATAATAAATAAATCAATAGAAATCTTTAATTAGCAGGGGTCCGGAGGGGAAATGCCGAGCAGATCTCCCTCTGGTGGCACGGATACCGCAGGGCACTGATTAAATCCCTGCTCGCTGGGAATGAAATCCCTGCATCCACACGGCAACAGGGTTTGTTCAGTGGCCCTTTCCCCTGCTCTGCTTCGAGAAGCTCCTTTGCAGGCACAGCTTCCAAGGAAATCCTTCGAGAGGAATCCCTTCCTCTGCAGGGATTGTCATCTGTTCAGGATACAGCTGCTGCTTACAACTTCACCTTCATTCCTCGGCGGTGGGATGAGCTGATTTCCCCCTGATGGGGAAAAATATCGGTGTTTAAGATGTAAAAATTATTTAGCTAAAAGTTGGTTTGTAGATTTGTGCTCCTGAAGCTCTTTTTTTCTCGAGGGCTTCCCGGCGTTGGTGACTTTTCTGCGCTAGCTGATGATTCAAAGGTTCTTGTGTGGTTCAGGAATTGAAATGACGTGGTGAGTGTTGAACTGCAGAGGGCAGGTGCTGCCACTTCTGGGACCCTGTGAGCTGTGCTGGGCCAGGGAAATCATCTCCACCAGGAGCACCGGTGGCACAGAAGCTGCTTTGGGTTTGCATCCTCCTTTAATGCCTGCTGGGGAACGGGGAGAGGGCAGCACCTTCCTCTGTGCTGGGAGAGCAGTGCTGCTGTTTGTTTGTCAAAACTGCGTCCAGGGCTGCTTGAAACTGCCACAGCTCCAGCTGGGTTTGCGCTGGGGATGGAGGAGCTGCTTGGGTTTGGGTTCAGCTCCTGGCCTGAAGTGTCCCTGCAGCTCGAAGGGGTAAAACTGCCCCGCAGCAGCGCTCAGAGCCCTCGGCAAAGGCAGCTGTAAAATGCCCCCAGGAAAGTGGGAGTCGCCAGCAACTCCAACCTCCTCCTTTGCAGGAGGTACCTTTTTTTTTTCAGTAGGAAGTTTTGTCCTCGATGAAGAGCTGAAAGCTGCTGTGCTGGAAGGGAGAAGAGGGCAGCCGACCTGCCTGGGATGTGCACAGCAGGACAAAGCCACCTCATCCTCCTGGGCACTGGGGACTGCTTTTCTGATCCCAACCCCACCACAGTGCTCAGCCCTGCTTGGAGATTCAGCAGCAGGGTTCTGGGATGGGGAGTTTTGCCTGGGGAAGCACAAGGAGCTCCTGGCTTCTGTTCCCAGGATGCTTGAGCAAAGCAGAGCAGTGCTGCCTCCTCCAGCTTGAGGCTGCACCTTCCTGGGTTAAAATAAACACAGCAGCCTGAGGGTTTGGAGGGTGCTGGGGAAAACCTGATGGCTGGAGGGCAAGAGCCAGGGGCAATGGAGCCCTTTGAGGGCTGGAGCTCCTTGCAGGCCCTGGCAAAGCTGAGGAATATTGGCTCTTGGAGAAGTCTGTGTGCAGGGCTTGGAAGTTTCTGTGGTTTTTACAAACATAACTGGGTTTTGCTGACTGGGGCAGCTGCCTCTCCCTCTCTTTCCCAGCAGGGGTGTTGTGCTCCCTCAGGTCCCATGCAGCACACTCCTTTGCTGGGATGGGGAAGTGCAAATTCTCAGGGCCTGGTTGCTGGGAAAGGCGGAGCAGAGGTGCAAACTGTGCCTGGAGCTTGGCTGGATGAGCTGGGAAACATGGTCCTCTGGAGAAATGGCTGCATCCATGGTGGAAGGGGAGAAGATGGAGGTAAGGAACCTCTGTGTGAGTTCTGAAAGCCTTGTCCCTCCTGATCACAGGAGTACAGAGCCTGCAGGAAGTGTCCCTGAATCCAAGGCTGCTGCTCAGGCAGAAGTGGTCCATCCCCTGATGGTGTCCAGCTTCCCATCATTTGGTATTTCCAAAAAGAGTGTTAGTTCTCCAGGAAAGGCAGGTGAAATATCCACACTCCATCTCTGGGCTTAGCTCACTTCTCAGCCAGCTGCTAGCTTATTTCCATACAAAATTTATCTGTGCTGCTGAAAGCACCTGATGCACCTGAGGGAACGAGGTCTCAGGGGATGAGGTCTCTACGGATGGGGTCTCTAGGGATGAGGTCTCAGGGGATGAGGTCTCTGCGGAATGAAATCTCTAGGGAATGAGGTCTGTAGGGGTTGAGGTCTCTGGGGATGAGGTCTGTAGGGGTTGAGGTCTCTGAGGAATGAAATCTCTAGGGAATGAGGTCTCTGGGGAATGAGATCTCTAGGAATGAGATCTCTAGGGATGCTTTCTGTGTCTGCACACCTGTGTGCCATGGGGCCACTCCCCAGCCCCATCCCTGGAACAGGGACAGCACCAGGCTGGCTGGGATGTGCTGTTTGAGCCTCCCAAGACAAGCAGTCCCTTTGCCCAGCAGTGGAAGGAGAGGTTGCCTGCAGCACCCCTGTCACCCCTCATCCTGCTATCCCAGCCCTGGCACCCTGGGAACGGGGCAGGATGTGGCCCTGCCACCCCCAGCCCGGTGACAGCAGCAGCGGCACGCCAGCCCCCCACCCCAATTATAGTTGGGTGTCGCAAAGGACATTGAAAAGCAAGGAGGAGAGCTGTGAAGAGGGTCATTTTAGTGGCTCTTTCTCTCTTCTTTTTTTTTTTTCCCCCCCCTCCGAGAAGGAAGTTAGAAAAGCAGAGCCCTCAAAGCTGCATTGAAAGGGTGACAGAGACGGGATAAAGCGTAAGACTGAGGGAAGGAATCTCAGAGCACTCGCCACGGTGTTTTAATGATCTGTTAACAATTGCCCCTTTCAGGGGAGAACATATGGTAGATGGTTTGCTTTTTTTTTTTTTTTTGGTTTTTTTTTTTTTTTTTTGCTTTTTTTTTTTTTTAAGGACAAAAAAAAAGAAAAAAGAAATTACTTCAGAAACTTAAATGATGGTGGAAAATGGTGGGGATTGCGGTGAAGAGCTGGGGGAGGGAGGCGTAGCCCCCGGACTGAGGGGATGTCAGATGATGGGAGGGTGTCAGATAATGTACCCTGAGCACGGGGGCTTTGCTGGAGACAGAGACCCCAAAAAACGCCGGGACCTGCTGGGGGGGGGACGGGGGCTGGTTGCCTGCCAGTGAAGGAAAACGATGAGAGTGCTGATGAAACCCGGGAATGCTGAGAGCCTTCAGGAGATGGGCTGGAGCATCCCTCCCCCCCAGCCCAGCTGGAGCCCAGCTGCGCGGGCAGGGCTGGCACTGCTCCCCTCCCTGCAGCTGGGGCAGATGGTGACAGTGCCCCGGCCGCACGCAGGTGGCGACTGCTCCGAGGTTTCCCTGCTGCTACCTGCCCTGAGATCATTGCCTTCCTCCCACTGCAGCCTGCTGGCACGAGTTTAAATTGTGGCTCACCGAAATCACACACACAGACTGCTGGTGACTTGTCATGCTGCAGTTTGGGTGGAAATACAAGGATTTTTTAAAAAAAAATGTTGCAAATACATGATTTTTTAATCGAGCTACAGGAGTCAGGCTGGGTGCTCAGCTTTACAGACATCCTGGCATAGGCTGGCAGGAGGGGCTGTGCTGCTTGTGGGCTCCCCAGGTTCATTATACACCTGGGCTTGGGGAAGCAGATGGTCCCATCTGGATGTAAAATCCTCTCCTACTCAGCCCTGCGGTAGTGCAGGACAGGAGGAGTCTCCGATTCAAAGGTTAGGAGTTTGGCAGATGGAGCCCAGTGCCGCATGAGGGGTTGGGAGTGCAGATGGGCAGGAATGGCTGGGGAACGCTGCAGTTCCATGCCTGCCTGCCAGGGACACCCGCGCAGGATGTACCACAGGAGAGGTGTAAAGGTGTGGGGAAGGGA